CTGGGGATAATAATAATAGAGCATTAAGTGAGGGGTAAAGGAGATAATCCATACAAAATGGTTAATACAGCCCTTGGGACTCAGGGAACATGAATATTTGATATCATTGGTCATATTTGTATTATAAAATACCAAGGGTAGGAGTGACCAATCTTTGCCCACCTCTACATCCATTCTGCTCTGTAATCCAGAGATCAGAGACCTGCTGCGGCTGCCCCTGATACCATTACAACTGTTTCTCACAGCCAAAACTCCAGTCACTGAACCCTGGACAACGTGAATCCCAAGCATTTCAAAATAGTAGAAGCCACTCACATAGCTCTGACACAGTCTGCCAGCATCAACAGTAGCAGGAACACATCCTCCATTTCCCTCCCAGCATCCAGTTTACACACATGGTTTGAGTTAGCAGAGCCAAATTTGCCTCCTGAACACCAGCTGAAGAGGGGCCAGGAAATATTTTTAGCTTCCTGACCTCTTGAGCGGGGAGGGTAAAGCCAAGGTTGAGAGAGCTAACCTATAATATCTACTGCATGAATCATTCAAACTCCACCTTCTCCAACTTGTTCCTGGATTTTTCCTAACTAAAAGTCATCATTCTTCCGTCTCCTCTAAATTGGTGGTGTTCACCACCATTGGACAAACCTCATTGGACATTAAAGCACCTTGGACCTGAAAAAAGCACTTATTCTTGTTCTTCGCATCCAGAAGTTCTGATTTAATTGGTTTGGGGTAGGGGTGCACTATGGAAATTTTTAAGCTCCCAGGTACACTCTGTGTTTAGAACCACTGCTCTAAATTCTTACAGTCTTTCATTTCTCCTCATCACTTCCTTAACTTCTGTTTAGTTACTTATAAAATGTCCTTACCCTTCCTACTAGATTATAAGTTCTCTGAGGATAGGATTTGAATCTACTCTCTTTTATGTCGTTCACAACTTCTGGTGGATTACTTTGCAAAAAAAAAAAAAAAAAAAAAAACCTTTAATGCTGATTGACTACATGAATAAATGATGTATGATGCCTTGCAAACAAAAGCATATTAAAGATACCACACATCAAGTCCCTGCCTCCCTCCTGCTTGACATTGTCTCAAGTACATTTCTTGTGAATCTATTAATTCTGCTCAGCATAGTAAAAATATAAATGGATATTTTGCTCACAGCATTAGTCTTCTAATCAATAATTCACCATAAAATATAACTTGACACAAAATTATTCTTGGTTTGAAAAAATAACATCTAAGCAATGGCATTTTCAGTTTTTGGAAACTATTGCCAATAAACTCACATCCTTTTAAGTAGAAATCTGAAAGGAGGGAACAATGGTCATGACACTGGATTTCTGAGCTACTTATTTATTTTTAGATATATCAGTTCTTTGCTATATCAGTGCTGTTAGTGCTATATCTCTAAATCTATCTTTTAAAACCCCAGTATGCAAAGATAAAAATTCTGTACTTAAACTATTGTATAATTACAGAATGACTTTGAAAGAAGTTTGACTAGAATATATCTAGTTGAAATATATAATCCCTTTGAAAGAAGTTTGACAAGAATGTCTACTTGATATTGATACTAGCATTTCTGAATTTATACCTAAAAAAATTAAATGCTATCCAACTGGGTTACATTGTTAATATTAAGATTTCTTATCATGTATTATTATAGATCTGTTTTTTAAATATTTGAAAGAAAGAAAGATTTACAATATTTGAAAGGGAAATTTTTCCCAGTATCTTTGCCAAATTAACCCTCAGACGGGGGCTCCTGAGACAAAAATCACATGGTCCTCATCCCCTTTCTTACAGCTTTGAGTGTTAGGAAATGATTAAAAGCAAGCCATTTGATCTCTCTCAGCTACAAAGTTATTCCCCAAGTATTTGAAAATATTAATGTTAGGGATAAAGAAGAGGAAAAAGGACAGAATGATGTTGAGAAAAGAATAAGGTTAGGTAAAAAGTGACTTGATTAGAGAAATATAATTTTTCTCTTGCCTGCCCCCACCCCATTTAGAGCTGCTTGTATTAAAAGCTCAAATAGATTTAAGAAGCTTTAGTTTCAAAGTCTTGAAAATCTGTTCCCAAGACTCACCATTTCCCAACTTCAGAAGAGATCCCGTGCCATTCTCCCATTTGTCTTTTCTACTTCCTTTTTTGCCCAAATCAAGAACGTTCCTCCCTCCCTCCTTCCCTTCCTTCCTGAGTTCCAACAACTTAAACATTCTTTTTTTTTTTTTTTCTTCAACTTAACATTCTTAAAATCTCCCCAGGAAGGTTTCCTGATGCTATAACTCCTCACCCTCTTCTCTATTAGCTCCTTAAGACCTCCATGGTTCCAGTAGAATGTGTATCACTTATATGGTTATAACACCTCTTTGGACATTGTTCACATACCTACAGGTAAATAAGAGACTTCATGAAAATGAGGGCTGAATTACTTAGTGTATTTTCCCCAACCAAGAATAAGAAAATGAACATTTAGTTTGTTCTCTTACCTCAAATTATGTCCACTAAGACCAAGATAAGAGTTATACTAAGAGAATCCAGACTTCTGGAGGGCAGGGAATTCAAATATTACAGAGTAGATATTCAACACATGTTGACTCTCTCACTGCATACTGCAAAATCACAAGGTTTTGAGATGTTGAAATGACTGTTCTCACCCTACCCAACTCTCTGATGCTGCTTTAAGGGAAAAAAAAAGACAAAATAAGAAATAACTTTCTTCTTTAGGGGTGCCTGAGTGGCTCAGTGGGTTAAGCCTCTGCCTTTGGCTCAGAGGTCATGATCTTAGGGTCCTGGGAACAAGCCCTACCGTCTGGCTCTCTGCTCAGCAGGAAGCCTGCTTCCCCACCGACCCCGCCTGCTGCTCTGCCTAGTTGTGATCTCTCTCTCTCTGTCAAATAAATAAAATCTTAGCCAAAAAAGGAAATAAAACTTTCTCCTTAAAAAAATAATAAAATATGGTCCATTTTGTTAAGAATTTTCTAGGGAGCAAGACCTATTATGTGGTTAGAATGGCGATATTTATTTAGATAAATATTTATATTTATTGATATATATTCTGATATCTATATGTATATATTTATAAAATAAATGAGATATAGGTATTGCAGTGTTGTGTTTAAAATGCTGAAACACTACCAGTTTTGTAATCCTTTCAGTTGCGTCTTCATTTTATCAGATACTAAAAGCCTCACAAAATGGAAGTAGACTGGGAGTTCCCTTGTTCCACGATGTTATTATATACATCTAATGCCAAATAAATACTAATAATGAAAATGGCATTTTCCATACAAACTGATGAAAGTTAAAGGTATATATACTTTATTTCACTATTAAGAAATAAACACATGATCACTGTAAATGTGAATAAAACTTGCATTTCAGAATCTTTCAAGGGCATCAAATCTGTTTTCCTCCTGTTTCTCAGTCCTCAGTAACTCTTTGAGTGTGTTTGTATTCACTTGGAAAGGACATTTCTGTGGAATTAATCAAATAGGGAATTCAATGTTCCTTGCAGATAATTTTGGCATGTTCCATTGGGAACTTTCTAGTATGAATTTTCATCTTCCCTGGGAAAAAAAACCCACATGTTCTAAATCCTGTCTTTTCTTTGTTAGTGAAGAACAATATAGCAAAGCTGCCATGTACAGAATTAATGACAATATATATTCAGCAAGACAGTCTTCTGAATACCTCATCATTAAATAAAAGAAGGCAAAAATGTATGGGAATACAATTTGAATGTACCAAATAAAAACTGGTATTAAAAATGCTGTAAAAACTAACTGAACAGAATAAAAAATTTTTCAAGAAATGTTGTAAAAAGCATCACAATAATTAATGGATTTTCTGATTGTGCTAAAATTAAAAAAAAAAAATTTCCACGGTAGAGAATTAGGACATATTCATAGCTCCTAATATATCCCAGTAAATCCAGAGATAACAAATCTCATTTTCCAAGAAAATCAGTGATAATGCTTTTGATGACAATGAAAAACTCATGTTCGATGCCTAATTAAACCTTTTGAAAGCCATATGTTCTGTTCTTTACTGGTTTCTTATCCTTGTCTTTGCTTTATGTTTCATAACAGTTTCTCATTCAGCAAATGCCCCTGCAATTCACCATTCTATATACATCTTAGTTTTAGTTTAGTTCTAAAACCTAAAGAAGTTTTGAGTTCTTTCCTACCACTGATGCTTTCCACTGTGCTCCTACGTCTGGGCAATTGCTCAACGGTAACCAGAAAGACCAAGCGCTTGGACTAAGTCTTAACCTGCTTAGGAGTTGTATTTGGCCAGTTTAGTGTGGGCCATCCCAAAGGAGATGCCCAGGAGGCAAGCGTAGCTTCAGCTATGGATCTCGGAGTCAACAGCATATTTGGGGAGGTTCAAGCCACAAGGAAGGAGGATGTCCCAACAGAGTATGTAGTACAGGTAGATCTAAGGACTAATGAGCAGAACTCTCCTTAAGTGCCCAATAATAATTTGAGAAATAAAAGAATGGCCTAGAAAATGACAATGTGCTTGATTAGTAACTTCTATTTCAGATGGTTGTGATTTCCAAGGAACTCTACCTCCAGAACTCTCCAGCAAGTTAGTAAGTGATGACAGTTAGTGAAAGACCTATCAACAGTTCATATTTATATCCTTGAGGTGAAACTGTCCTCTTTCAACACATATCACATTTTCATTGAAGTTCACATTAGTGAATGATGAATACAAGATGTTTTGCACAATCTGGCTGCTGGCTTACTGCATTTTGTTAACAAAACACACAGGAACTGCCAAAATGGGAGAGGAGCCTTTCCTAAATCACTCCAAACGTCACCATGACTACAGCATATTTTCCTAAATTGGTAGTTTGGGGGGGTTTTTTGTCTGTTTGTTTTGCTTAAGATATAAATTCATTCAAGTGTTTGGATCCTATTAAGGCTTGATAATTTCTCTTATAAAAAATTTTCTTTCATGTACATGAATCATTTTCTTATTCACAGGACTGATCCAAAATGACAACTCAATTTGATTGTCAATACTGCACAGCATCACTTCTTGGGAAGAAGTATGTACTAAAGAATGACAATCCATATTGTGTTTCATGTTATGATCGTATCTTTTCTAACGATTGTGAGGAGTGCAAAGAACCAATCGAATCAGGTTCCAAGGTAGGTCTTCAATTCACAGAATGACTGCATGCAAACAATCAGATCAATGCTTGGGAATGTCTCGTTTCCTTCAGTATTGACTGTTAATACTGTATTGCTCCACTACTGGATATAAGCACCTTCAAGGTTACCATCGTGACCAGGTATGGTGTCTAGCACTATGAAACACAATATACATTTTAATCCTCACAGTGGTCTTAGAAGATAGTTAAAGATGCTAAAGATTAAGGAGATTATGTTACACAGCGAAAATGCGGATTTATTTCTGGAATAACAAGAATATAAATGGATAAATACATAAATCATTGCAAGTGTAGAGATTCAAAAATCTGTATTTTTGGACTTCGAATCAGGCTCATCTCCCCTAAATCCACTGTGCCCTCATAGAGCCCATTCCTCCCACAATGCACATTGCTGTTTTTTTCTTTTTCTTTTTCTTTTTTGTCTTTGTGTTGTGGTGTTGAGATTTTGTTTAATCTCAAACAATAATAGGATATTACAACCTAAAAATAAAAATCATTCCATGATTTCCATGATCCTACAGTTTACAAAAGGAAGGAAGAGGAAATCTGAAGAAAAAATAGTTTATTTTCCATCTGTCTTCAGTGACCAACTAAGAAAGCCCCAGGCTCTAGCTCTTAATTGCCCCAGAGAGCCTCCTCTCCATGGGTAATAGTATCAATGACAACTTTCCCTCAAGCCACCAGCACAAACTACTGACACCAGAGTCCCAGGAGTGTTCATTTTTGTCTTATCAAATGACCTGTTTTGTCACTAGCACATTTAATTAACTCATATTTACTGCCTCGAAGGATCTTTGTTATAAAGGCCGACACTGGCATGAAGCATGCTTCAACTGTGCCAAATGCAATCACTCTTTGGTGGAAAAGCCTTTTGCTGCCAAGGATGAGCGCCTGCTGTGCTCAGAGTGCTATTCTAACGAGTGCTCCTGCAAGTGCTTCCACTGCAAGAAGACCATCATGCCTGGTAAGATCCCAAGGGAGCTCCAGTCTCTCACTGAAGCTGCAAGGCTTTGAATTACACCCAAGCACAGGAAGAGCAGAGTAGCTAAGAAAGCTCTCCCTTGGAGAAAGACATCTATCTTGCTATCTCTTAATTTCATTTTGTACATTTTTAGAAATTAAAGGATTATTCTTTCTGGGTAATTATTCTGTATGGGTAAATTACAGTGTTCGATGTATTTTCATGAAGTTAATTCACAGAGACATTTTCAACCACGATCTGGTCCATAGAATAAAGATAAAATCTAAACCAGTAACACTAAGGGTGCATTGAACACCCTGTCTTCGGCATAAACAATGGCATCGGGAAGCATAATTCATCATAGGAGAACGGGGCCAACCATCATTTTGTAGCAGGACAAAAAAATGGTTTGAGGGTCCCTCATCTTTATTCCTTCTAGGCAAGTCAAGGATTCATGTACATCATTATACTTCCAGGCAAGCACCTTCTCTGTTTTGATTCTCTTCTAAATCTCCAGGGACAGCAGCATAAAACACGATTCTTTCTCATTTTCTTATTATGAATTCAAAGAGTTTCTAGAAGACCATAACTGTACAATATCAATCTCAAGAGTTTGTGCCTCAGGCATCCCTAATATCCCTGGATTGATAATTATGGCCCAGTCTGTCTAAACCCCATGCAGCCTTTCAGAATCTCCACCAGTTGTACTTTCAAATCTCAAAATTGTAGCTTACACAGCACAAGAGAGTCAGTAAAAGAGCAAACTCATCCTCATCGTGGCTGAACTCTACCTTCTTTTTCTCAGGTAAGTGTTTTAGAAGCCAACAAAACACTGTTTTTCTGTGAGGACAATTAGGCTTATCATCTTAATGTTACAATATACAGTTTGAGTAATTTGACATACATTTACTTAAAATAAATAAAATGATGTTTCATTTATACTAACAGGTTCTTATTTGGGGTGGCACAGGTTCCCGCAAAATGGAATTTAAGGGAAACTACTGGCATGAAACCTGCTTTGTGTGTGAGCATTGCCGACAGCCAATAGGAACTAAACCCTTGATTTCCAAAGAGAGTGGCAATTATTGTGTGCCATGTTTTGAGAAGGAGTTTGCTCATTACTGCAGCTTTTGTAAGAAGGTAATTATCTAAAGAGGATGAAGCTTGTGGAACCTTCCAGACCATTGCTTTTTAAATTCACTAGATATTTGGAACGCACCGATACCATCATGTTCTTTTTTTTTTTTAAGATTTTATTTATTTATTTGACAGAGAGAGATATCACAAGTAGGCTGAGGGGCAGGCAGAGAGAGAGAGAAGAGGAAGCAGGCTCCCTACCGAGCAGAGAGCCCGATGCAGGGCTCAATCCCAGGGCCCTGGGATCATGACCCGAGCCGAAAGCAGAGTCTTTAACCCACTGAGCCACCCAGGCGTCCCATGTTCTGTCTTTACACGTTCACATTAGTTTTGAATTCCATTATGGCCAGACGCACACTGCCCGTTACGATGAAGACAGCCACCTACTTTCATCGTCATAAAATTCCACCCAGAATGTGAACGTAAGGTTCCCAAAGCTCAAGATAGTCCAGTTCCATTCACTGCTACCTCAAAAGATTCATGTATTCTGGCAAAGGGCATACATCTCTCATAGAATACAAGACATTTTTTAGAAAGTAGTTTTGGATCCATTTCATTTCAGAGAAATACGATTTTTCTCACAGAGTTACTAAAGGAACCAGTTTAAATGGGATGTTTAACTTCTCACATTATGTCCCAGCAACACAAATGTCTTCTTGGCTTGAAGCTTCAATATTTCTAAAGAGTAGATAAGTAGACTCAAGAGACTGACAAGATCATTGAAATTCATTAGACAGAAAGACAGAAAGAGGACAAGGGCAGCAAGTGGTTTGCTTCTAGTTCCAGACTGTTCTGACATGGACACCCATTCAAACCATATCTTCCAATAAGAAAAGAGTCATGCTTTCAAGTAAACTTCGTCCAACCTCTTTTAGCCTTTAAGCATTAATGTGAAAAGTCACTCATCTCTATCACCTTGATAAAATCTGTCTGTATTTCGTAAAATATATATTGATGTACTTGAAGAAATCCTTGACCCATGAGGCATCATCAAGTTTAAAAAAAAACACGATAAATTGTGATGGGAAAGCAGTGGTGTCTAAACATTTTTGATCTATGGGCTGCTTTGGCAGATCTCAAGACCATTTGTATAATTGCATCTAGACAGCTAGAAGCCTCACTACCACTTTCTATGGGAGCGCATGTGCATGGTATTTTTCTACATGTATTTAAAACACAAGGACTGCATTTGCAGAGAAAACAATAAACTCCTACATCACAACCGTTAGAATACACTATAATTATGGCTGAAATTACAATTGATAGTAACATGATAGAAAACCATCTTATACCCAGAAACTTCCATTACTCCATCAGAAACACTGACTTAGACAATGACTTTATAGGCAACCCTCAGATCCTATGACCCTGAAATATATGTAGCTCAGACGATTTATCAGAGCTGATGACCTGCATTTTATTTTTTTTTTAATTATATTATTTTTTGAGAGAGAGAGAGCACACACAAGGGAGGTAGGTAGATGCAGAGGGAAAAGGAGAGAGAATCTTAAGCAGGCTCCATGCTGGGTATGGAGTGCCTCATGGGGTTCCATCCCACAACCCTGAGATCATGATCTGAGCTGAAATCAAGAGTTGGATGCTCAGCAAACTGAGTCACCCAGGCACCCTGAAGACATGCATTTATTTATTTATTCATTCATTTATTTATTTATATTTTTTAAAGATTTTATTTATTTGACAGAGAGAGAGGCAGTGAGAGAGGGAACACAAGCAGGGCGAGTGGAAGAGGGAGAAGCAGGCTTCCTGCTGAGCAAAGAGCCCGATGTGGGGCTCAATCCCAGGACCCTGGGATCATAACCTGAGCCAAAGGCAGCTGCTTAACAGCTGAGCCACCCAGGAGCCCCTGAAGACATCCATTTTAGAAACAGGTGCTGGAGGGTGCCTGGGTGGCTCAATGGATTAAGCCTCTGTCTTCAGCTCAGGTCATAATCTCAGCCCACATTGGGCTCTCTGCTAGACAGGGAGCCTGCTTCTCCCTCTCTCTCTGCCTGCCTCTCTTTCTAGTTGTGATCTCTCTGTCAAATAAATAAATAAAATCTTTAGAAACAGATGCTGGGAGCAAATAGATTTATCTCACTGTTCTGTAGGACAACTAAGTGGACCATGTTCACATTATGTTTCTTAAAGACTTCAGTTAAAATATGAATAAGACTTGTGGTAATTATCTTAAAATCATTTATTGGGCATACAATATAAAGTTTCTTTCAATGCTATAAAAATTCAAGAGGGGGAATTTCTCTAGTACATCCACGCTAAGCACTGTTTGAGGCCAAAACACTGGCATTTCCCAAGTTATAGGAGCCTGTCCTATATTTAGAATATGATCTGAAGTCACCAAAACTTTGTGAAATATTTATACTGGGTAGTAGATAGACCACGACATGCCAGATTATTTTCTATTTAATTTTTAAAACCACAAGTCTTTTAAGGAAAGCTGGATATAAATGTTTCTGATCAAGAAAAACAATGTTTCAACTCAAACCAAAGACCAGATAAAACAAACAAAAATGGGCAAAAAATACTGGACAACCAACCCCTTAGAGCTGATTTCATAGATTTTATTTTGTGAAACTAAAACTTATTTTCTGGAGTGCCTGGGTGGCTCAGTTGGTTAAGGGTCTGACTCGTGATTTTGGCTCAGGTCATGATCTCAGGGTCCTGGGGTCAAGCCCCACATCGGGCTCCTTACTGGGCATGGAGACTGTTTGGAATTCTCTTCCTCCCTCTGCCCCCACCGCCCCTACTCTCTTCTCTCCCTCCCTCTCTCTAAAAAAAATAAATAAATAAATAAAATAAAATAGAAATAGATTAATAAATAGATAAAACTTATTTTCTACCAAAAACAAGTAACCTCAAACCACAGGTGCTTTGAATCCAAACTCCTCGAGGTTCAAATAGCGTATTCTCTGATTCATCGGCTCTGGCTACTAAGCACAAAACCAGTACTGCTTCCACTTTGCCAGAGAAGAAACTTGTTCCAAATCCCAGGACCAACCAATGGCAAACATCATGCCTGGATATTCAGCTTCCTCTTAGTGGGCTTGCCTCTTCAAAAGGAACATCATCACAAGCAAACTATTTCAATGTTCCAGAGTTTCTTCTCTCTAATTAAACAGTATTTGGTGTATATATCAAGTTTTCTTTTGCTGTGAATATATTTTTCAAGCTTGGAATCTTTAAAGCATTGCCTGCTAATAATTTGACCCAACAAATCAAAGGCATCTTGAATTCTGCTGTGCCTGCAATGAGGCATTTGAAATCAGTAGGGGGTATTTTAAATTGCTTTAGTTCACACACACCATTATGTTTCCCATTACTTATTTAGACTAGTATACATTTTTTCCGGTAGGAAAAGTAACTTTTCCATCAAATATCTTTAATTTTTAAGATATTTGTTGTAGATTCAAAAATATCTTTAGAATCATCTTTTCAAAAGCCTGTATCATAGACAAGATTTTTTAAAAATTTTTCATCAATAAAATGGCTTAGAAGAGTCTCCACATTTTCTATACCCAGTTAATTTGAATACAGAGATTGCAGGACTTGCCTCAGGGAGCAGATGAACACATTCTAGATTCCAGAGCTACTTTAAGAGCTCAACAGCCATGGGTTCTAAAGACACTATGACTTAAAAATTGCTACCCAAGAACAGTTGTCCAATATTTACCCATCTGATTCTAAATAAAGATGTCTCCACCTTTTACAAATTACAACCCATGGATTAAACTGCTTTGGTATATGGGGCGCCTGGGTGGCTCAGTGGGTTAAGCCTCTGCCTTTGGCTAAGGTCATGGTCCCTGGGTTCTGGAATCAAGCCCCCCATCAGGCTCTCCACTCGGCAGGGAGCCTGCTTCCCCCTCCCCCACTGCGCCTGCCTCTCTGTCTACTTGTGATCTCTGTCTGTCAAATAAGTAAATAAAATCATTAAAAATAAATAAATAAACAAACTGGTTTGGTGTATATATGTGTATATATATATACATATATATATATAAAATTCCTCCGTTATATATATTACGGAGGAATAATAAGTATGTCTGACAAAACCCTCGCACATCACACATTAAGGTTCAACATCCAAGCTGTGCTCATTACATAGAGTTCTAAAGCTGAAAACCCACACAGTTGGCACAGCACTCCATCTGTGCTAGATACAATACCAGAATTGTTGTCCAAATGTTTTTTCCCTTGGCGTTTGTTCACTCATTTGACAAGGACTTATCAACTGTTCAAGAGCGAAAAGTAACCTTGGTCAGTATTGTTTTACTGGGTAAAAACACTGGCTCAGGAGTCAGACTGTGTGGGTTTGCATGCTAGTTCTGTGAGACCTGGCAAGTGACCTGACCACTCTAACACTCAGTAGTTTCTCATCTCTTAAAGGCGGAAAGATAATAGTCTCGCTGTGTTGTGGTGTTAAGAACAAAAGAAGAGGTCATCCCTTAGCACAGGGCTGAGGACTCAAAGCTCACTTCAGAAATATTAGTCGTGGGCGCCTGGGTGGCTCAGTGGATTAAGCTGCTGCCTTCTGCTCAGGTCATGATCTCAGGGTCCTGGGATTGAGTCCCGCATCGGGCTCTCTGCGCAACAAGGAGCCTGCTTCCCTCTCTCTCTCTCTCTGCCTGCCTCTCTGCCTACTTGTGATCTCTCTCTGTCAAATAAATAAATAAAATCTTTAAAAAAAGAAAAAGAAAAGAAATATTAGTCGTGATTAGTGGATGATGGTGCTTAACAAGGCCATTCAGGGTTGTTACTGCTGGATTAAAGCTTTCAGGGAAAAGTCACTTTTTTCAGCATCCTTAAAAGTCAGACATGGAAATAAGAATCTGGTGCAGAAAATATCTTAGTTCTGATGGCAGATCTTTGAAGCCCAACAAAAAAAGAGAACAATGAGAAAAGGAATCAAGGGTCTACTTCTTTTTCATTTTCCTGAGTCCATGATGGCCCTGCTTCTTTTCTATTCCACTGTAGGAGAAAAATTAGGATATTTCTAGCTGGTTCTATTTAATCCCTATAGCCTTTTGCTTCTCATATTGATTCAAAAAAATCACAGGGAAAGGACATCCTGACACAAGGTGATAGAGCAGCCCAAAGTACCACTTGTGGACACAGAAGAGATCATACAAATCGTACTAGCTCCCATGGTCACTGCCTTTTTGTGATCCTTTGGCAGGTGATAACATCAGGTGGGATAACGTTTCATGACCAGCCATGGCATAAAGAGTGTTTTCTGTGCAGTGGCTGTAGGAAAGAGCTCTGTGAAGAAGAGTTTATGTCCAGAGATGATTATCCATTCTGTCTGGACTGTTACAATCATCTTTATGCCAAAAAGTGTGCAGCCTGCACCAAGTCCATTACTGGTAAGTTCTTCAGTTTAATATGGTCCTACGATGGCTATATGGATGCTATATAGTTAATTTGGGAAAGGTAAGTAGAAAAATGATAATCTTCTTTTTTCATTTTATTTTATTTTATATCTTTTCAGTGTTCCAAAATTCATTGTTTATGCACCACACCCAGTGTTCTATGCGATACGTGCCCTCCATAATACCCACCACCAGGTTCGCCCAACCCCCCAAGCCCCTCCCCTCCAAAACCCTCAGTTTGTTTCTCAGAGTCTACAGTCTTTCGTGGTTTGTCTCCCCCTCCAATTTCCCCAACTCACTTGTCCTCTCCATCTTCCCATGTCCTCCATGTTATTTCTTATGCTCCACAAGTAAGTGAAACCATATGATATTTAACTCTCTCTGCTTGACTTATTTCACTCAGCATAATCTCTTCCAGTCCTGTCCATGTTGATACAAAAGTTGGGTCTTCATCCTTTCTGATGGAGGCATAATGCTCCATAGTATATATGGACCATATCTTCTTTATCCATTTTTCCATTGAAGGGCATCTTGTTTCTTTCCACAATTTGGCAACTGTGGCCATTGGTACTATGAACATTGGGGCTCAGGTGGCCCTTCTTTTCACTACATCTGTCTCTTTGGGGTAAATACCCGGTAGTGCAATTGCAGGGTCATAGAGTAGCTCTACTTTTAATTTTTTGAGGAATTTCCACACTGCTTTCCAAAGTGGCTGCACCAACTTGCATTCCCACCAACAGTGTAAGAGGGTTCCCTTTCTCCACATCCTCTCCAACACTTGTTGTTTACTGTCTTGTTAATTTCAGCCATTCTAACTGGTGTAAGGTCATATCTCAATATGGTTTTGATTTGAATCTCCCTGATAGCTAATTATGATGAACATTTTTTCATGTGTCTGTTAGCCATTTGTATGTCGTCTTTGGAGAAGTATCTGTTCATATCTTCTGCCCCTGATTATCTGTTTTGTGTGTGTTGAGTTTGAGAGTTCTTTATAGATCTTGGATATCAGCCCTTTGTCTATAGTGTTATTTGCAAATATCTTCTCCCATTCCGTGGGTTGCCTCTTTGTTTTGTTGACTGTTTCCTTTGCTGTGCAGAAACTTTTGATCTTGATGAAGTTCCAAAAGTTCATTTTTGCTTTTGTCTTCTTTGCCCTTGGAGACATATCTTGAAAGAAGTTGCTGTGGCTAATGTCGAAGAGGTTACTGCCCATGTTCTCCTCTAGGATTTTGATAGATTCCTGCCTCATGTTGAGGTCTTTTATCCATTTTGAGTTTATCTTTGTGTATGGTGTAAGAGAATGATTGAGTTTCATTCTTCTACACATAGCTATCCAATTTTCCCAGCACCATTTATTGAAGAGACTGTCTTTTTTCCACTGTATATTTTTTCCTATTTTGTCAAAGATTATTTGACCATAGAGTTGAGGGTCCATATCTGGGCTCTCTACTCTGTTCCACTCACCTATGTGTCTATTTTTGTGCCAGTACCATGCTGTCTTGGTGATCACAGCTTTGTAGTAAAGCTTGAAATCAGGCAACATGATGCCCCCGGTTTTGTTTTTCTTTTTCAACATTTCCTTAGCAATTCGGGGTCTCTTCTGGTTCCATACAAATTTTAGGATTGTTTGTTCTAGCACTTTGAAAAATGCTGGTGGAATTTTTATCGGGATGGGATTGAAAGTATAGATTGTTCTAGGCAGTCTAGACATTTTAACATTGTTTATTCTTCTGTTCTATGAGTATGGAATGGTCTTCCATCTCTTTGTGTCTTCTAAGATACACATGCAGGGGTACCCACACATAAATACAAATATTACATAGACCCCCCTCAAAGCAAGTGGAGAGCATAATTAGGGCACCCATGCTCTGTAGAGGGTAATTAATACTAAACCTAATGGTAATGACTAAAGTAATCATTCAGGAACAGGATGAGCTGAGAGGTCAGAGAAGAACTTCACAAGGAGCCTGACATTTAACGATTTGAGTGGGAGAAAGGGATACTTACTTATAAAGAAAAAATCCTGCTTAATTCCAAATAAGGGCAAAGATCCTTGAAATAGAAAAGGTTTTAATTAAATGCAAAGTATTGTACAAAAATCTAAAGCTGTAATAATTAGGGTGGCATAGGTCAGGAATTAATTAAACTTCATTTTAAGATGCTTCTAACAAGTGTATCATTCTCTTTTCTTTCTATCCACTTGCAATATATTTTAATTATGAATAGATGAAATAAAACAGGATAGCATTGTGCTGAATGAACAAAATACATGTGATATGATTTAAAAATATCACCAATGATAAACTGATTCATGTTTAAAAGATTTTCAAGGTAAAATGATGCATTTTATTTTCCTTGGAGAAACCTCCAAAATGCTAATCCTATAGTACAAAAAAAAAGAAGAAGAAGAAGAAGAAGAAGAAGAAGAATTTGGCATGACCTGAGAACCACAGCAGCTACACTTTTAGGCAGAACTGTACTTCTATTCCCCATTCCTGGGGATTCTTAGATCATATTCCATTTCTTTTAGTTCAGTTTATGTAACATAGAATTAAAGATTATTTTCTCCTTTTCCTCCTCCTCCATCTTCAAACATATCACAAAATAAAAGTTGCATCTTCTTATATCTCCAAAGAAAGAAGAGTTTCACTGCAAACCCAGCTTGGCAGATTTTCACTGACTTGCAAGAAGGAGAGAGAGAGTTACCCTGACAAACAAAGTCCCATTTTTCTGCACAGGGCACTGTTTTTCAGCATCCCACCCTGTCCATGGCTACAGCTGGCTGGCAGGTTTGTTTTGTTTGGCCTGCACAAGTTTGGAAACAAGTGCAAAACCTATCTCTGCAGCCAAAGTACATGGCTGCCCTCGCATACCCCAGCTGGGTCTCTGTCGCAGGCTCAGTGGCTGCCCCAGTGCTCTGTTCTCCACAAATCTTCTCCATCCCTCTGCTCTGTTACATTCCCAGCCCTTGCACTGGATTCCGTTGGCAATCCCAGACTATCGGGCTCCAAACTTGTGCTCTTCACCACTCCACTCCCCTGCCTCTATACTTCTCACATGTCCTACAGTCAGGGGAATAAGCCACTGTCACTCACCACCAGTTTTGGTTAGAAAATGGGACTTCCTGAAATGCATCAGTACTGGGAGCTCATAAATCTCCTTGGAAGAATCTGCAATTACAGCCCAATGCATGCAGTTGATTTATTCTAGGACACTTTTCTTAACTAGCCAGAAAAAGGAGGGGGGGACTTCCATGAGGAAATGAGAAAATTAAACAAATCAAATGAGTTTAAAAACTTCCTGGGTACTCAAATGGCTAATACTGACCTGCAAAGAGCCTGTGTGAGCCCTGAGCTTGAGGAGTTTCAATTCTGATCCATCACAGATTTATGTAGCTAAGTGACTTTTTTCTGTTGGGTTGTTTCCTGTTAATCACTGAGCCCAGGTCTTTGAGGTTCAGAGAGAAAAAACACATTGTCCTGCATGTAATATAAGGATGCCTTAAGGATCACAGATTTGACCCAATAGTAATCCAAATATGGGACTATGTAGTTAATTCAGAATAATCAGCTTTTTTATAATTATCATAATCTTCTTTTGGCTCTGATGAGAGACACCTGAGACTATAATGTCTGCAAAAACTTCCAACTCACTTCACTATTTTTTTATCTGAATATATATATATATATATATGAATATATATATATATATATATGCTTTTTAGTAGTGTTTCTTTAAAATTGAGCTCTTTGAATTAATGTTCCACAGGGAATTCTTATGCTGCCATATATTTATCTTTTGAAAGTTGTACATTCACGCCAATAATATGTCAGTCTAAGAAACTATGTTAGGGTGTTTTCAAAATACTTTTTTATATTAACTAAATGTATCTATGAGTCTCAGGTGTGATTTTTCTTTTAAATCTCATCGAATAAATTTGATTCATTTGAACAAATTCAAGGTGGAACTGTAATTATTTTCTCCTCTAAGATAGGATCAACCTTTCAAATTTTCTGGGATAAGTGAAGCAGCTTGATGTAGTGGGAGTAAAAGAACTTGGCCTTGCCTATGCCCCCTGACTACTGTGTGACCATGGGTAAAGAACTCACCAGCATGGAGCTCCTCATTTCCTTACTTGCAAATGCGGAGTTGAACAGGATCACATCTTCACTTTCTGCCATTTCTATTTATTTTGAGTAAAAGGAGTTTCAGATGTTATTTCTTCAGAAAAGAATGCTAGTGTTGGTCTTTACAAAAGATAAATTCAGACTGAATTTGGGGAAGTTAAGAGCACAGGTTCTGAAGCCAGATGGCCTAGGATTGAATCCCAGATCTGCTACATACCAAACGGCTGATTTGGGCAAGTGGTTGAACCTCTCTGTTCATTAATTTTTGTCTGCAAAGCAGAGTTGATAATATCTACTCATGAAGGTAAGATGAGAGCTATGTGATGCAGATATGTGAAGGGCTTAGGATAGTGATGGACTCATTTTCAAGTGCTGAACAAATGCTAACTTTTATTCTATTGAATTTTCAGTAGTAAATGAAGTCAAATAAAACAAGGGCCAGAGACGGGTTTCCTGGGGGACTTTCCTACTACAATGACCCTCACGACCTAATGGAGGAAATTTATTCAAAACTGAAATAATTTATAAGCGTCTGACATGTTGAGTCTGCCTCTCTTAAATTCCAGCTACCAGATGCTTCTATTTCTCTCTTCTTCGTAAAATCCTGGAGGAATTATTTTTATATTTACCACTTATATGGCCTTACTAATAAAATCAAGAAAAACTCATGAGCATCAAAATGCAAGATATGTAATAATCAGTTTTATGAACAGCGATGATTCATGCATATATAGAACATGATTCTTGCAGTCAGCTTATTAATGTTTTGAATAACACTCAGGGAATTAATTGGTTCATTATTGATTTACTCTTATTAGCAAGTAATGATGATAGCATCATAAATAAGCAAGCTATAAATCTAATCAAAGAAGGTAAAGAAATTTGGTGCGCATTTACTTATAAACTAATAAATCTCATGTAAATTCATCAAATAACATTTCTAGTATGGAAATAAGTGTTCATTATCATATTTAAGTAGTATTATTATATTATATATCCATATTTATATATGTATTTTATAAATTTATATATTATGTATTATATATAAATTTATATATTATAAATTTATAAATTGTCATATATTTACATTATATTTTATATATATATATATATATATATCCATATTTAAGGAGAGTTTATTTGAAATAGAATGCTTATTCACATTTTTTTGAAATAGAATGCTTATTCCCCAAATGGAATATTTGGAAATTACATGTGAATCAACCCATGAACTATGTTAGTCACACTCTGTGAGTAATGAGCAAATCACAGGAGGTTTGTAACACTATGATCACTTGGAAAAAATCTTGGCAAATAAATAAAGACCCAAGACATCCCAAACCATTCCCAATCGCTACACCTTTTCTCCCTTTCAACTCCTCAAAGGCAGTCCCTTAAACTGTAGTCTGGATCCATATTAGGGATATGGAAAGAAATTATCACTGAAGACTCAAATTCCATTCCCTTTCTTGGAAATGTTACGGTTCAGGCGAAGCCCAGGTAGAAGTTGTAGAGGCTGACAAGGCGTCTCTTAGAGACAAATTACTGGATAGCATGGCTTCAGTGGCCCAAGTGATCAGACTCACAGATCTTTATTGCAAGCTTGGGCTGATGTTGTCTCTGGGCAAGGCAATCAGGTCATCATGTTAGGCTAGTTACATGATGGTCTGGATGAAATCTTCTACTGGGGACTTTTGGAAATCATGTCCCAAGCCACAGTATGACCATGGAAATTTATCTTGAGTAAAACTAAACATAGAAATAGAGGAAAAAAACTCAAAGTCATTAAAACATCAGATACCAGGCTAGGAAGTATACATTTATTTTATTGTACCTTAATTTTGCTTTAAGAAAACAGGGCCATGAAGAGAGAAAAAAAAGATAGTCACACCCAGGTATCTCTTACTTTGAAATCTGTCCCCCCTCTCTTAGGTGATCTTTATGTGTTTCCCAAAATACCTGCTTTGTACATTCAGCTACTATCTACTTTTGTAGATTATGGAAAAAATTGGGACTCAGGCTGGACCTCATCAGGAAATTGCCTAGGGTGACATTCCCAGATGGGCACAGGGACATGGAAGGTCGCATACTTGCCTCTATGCGGTCTTCTTGCTCGTTGCTGTTCTCTACAGTTCCTAGGAGACTACCGGATGGAATCCTTAATCTATTCATCGGAAGAATATTTTTTCCCCCAATTCCTTTACAGGTCTCAGAGGTGCCAAGTTTATCTGCTTTCAAGACCGCCAGTGGCACAGTGAATGCTTTAACTGTGGAAAGTGCTCGGTCTCCTTGGTGGGGGAAGGCTTCCTAACCCAGAACAAGGAAATCTTCTGCCGCAAATGTGGCTCTGGATTGGACACTGACATCTAGAGGGAGACAGCCCTTCCTCACCTGAAATCCACCTTGCTTTTGTTCTCACTAAATCCAGACCTTGCTTGAAGTAGTATTTCTGACTTATGTTTCAGCACATTTTAATGCAGAGTTTATAGCAGGAGGATTTTTGCACACACACACACTGATGGAACTATATCATAAGAGCTCAGAAAAAGCAGTCAAACAGGAATGAACATATCCTAACTCACAAAGGCATCTCTCCTTGCAAAATACTGCACTCTGCTGTTAAAAACATAGGAAAATATCTCCTTATTGCAATCAAACATATGACCTATACCTAGAAGTATGGATGTTATTACCAAAGACTAATGTTTTCAAAACTGCAGAGTAAAAAAGGAAATTAAGAGATTAAATTGACAGGCACATGTAAAGCTAATGTTTGCATTCCCAGCTAGCTAGTTATATATAAGGTGATAGACTGGCTATTGTTGGTAGAAGAACAAAACTGATCAGAAAAACTGATCAGTAATCATCCTATTTGAGAATTCTGCCCCTTTATCATTCTTTTATTCACACATACTGACTTTAGAGCTCCAAAACAAAACTGCAATTTGCCGCCCTCTATGCTGCTTCCAGAGCTAGTTGGTTCCATGTTTAACAAATGGAAATGAGAATTTGGACACTGTGGCTCTCATACTCTGCATGGTTATGAAGGGGTCCTCTCTACCTGGGGATAATTAAAGCCTAGGTTTCAACACATGTTGCACCAAATGCATTTTCAAAGCCCACATGATTTTTCTAAATACTTAACAGATTCCATGAAAGAGAAGTCTATTCTCTCAAATGAGCTAACTGGGGTAATCATTGTCCCCAAAGGCAAACCTTTAAAGTAAATAGATCATTAAGTCATCACTTGTGGAAATGAGTTTTAGGAAAGGGATTGAGCGATGGAACATGACTTTCATCCAGATATCTACAGGCATAATAGAATGCATAATTACCTCTGAGCTTCATGCATTTTGCCTTCTAAAATTACACAGATGATTAATGAGAAGACATGAAAGTGGGCTTTGACGGAATTTAGTAATAATAAGAAGTGAGAAAAAATAATTCACTGCTGATAATTCTGGACCTGCACAGCAATACCATAGACCAATATGGGCTGTAGATGAGCCCTCCCCACTGTTGCGCCACACGTGTGCCACCCACCTCACCCCATGCCAACTATGTCCCAAGAGTTCCAATCTCCTGCATGGCCCACAGGTGCACTCCCAACCCTAAGCAGCCATTCTACAAATAAGTCAGTGTTTATCGGTCACACGAGAAGAAACAGCCTTAATGAAAAGTCTATCACCATATGCGTGTCTTTTTGCCAGACATCAATTAATGATCACCCTACCTAGCTGCAATATTTTCCACATTATGAGGGACAAATGGAAAGCAAACTCTTTTCTCCATGGTCAATTACTGTCTTTGTTATAGTGTCACTTAGCTGGAGTAGAGGGAGGTCAGAAGAAAGCCACGCGGACGTAACATTTTTATAAGTGTCTACTTTCAGATTACTGCCTAGCACTAAAGGTTCTGATTGAAACCTAATTATATGATGTAGCTGATTACAGTGATTAAAATAGTATCACAGGAGATGTAATTAAAATTGTTATGGAAACACAATTTTTGAAATAGTTCAAAATGCAAGGACATTTGGAGATGCTAACAATTTAGAGTTGCTAATAAAAGGTCAGGCTACAAAGGCTGTTTGAAAGATACAACTGTCTTTTTTTTGTCTATGTGTAGTAACAACACCAAGATAACTTTTCACATTCACAGTGTAAGACGTCGGTAAAACCGACAATATTTTTCCTGCATTGTTTGAATTTTCCTGCATTGTTTGCACGTATAGAACTAAACACTCCAATTGTTCTATGATCTAGAACATAATAGTGCATTATATATTTAGAAAACCAAGCCCTTTTAAAAGGTCTGGATAAATATATGATATGTAACATTGCCTCAGTTAACCACCTATAGAAAAACATGCAAAATGTGATGTTTTCTAAGTTAAACAGTGAGTAATGTTTAAGCATTTCGCTTTGTGTATGGGCAAGTATGCACATGGTCAGGTTTGCATTCTATCTGTACAATTAAAATTCACAGAATCATTTCTGAGATAGAGATTCTTTTCTCATTTCTGAGATATTCTTTTCTCCTTTGATACATATACTTAAGTATATTTTCACATATAAATAATTCCATATTTAGAATTTAGCTTCATTATCAGATATGTATTGTACCATGCACAGAGTTGGAGTTCAAACCGCTGTGGTTCTGGGGTGGTGGGAGATCAGGGTATGGAAATGCAAGATTGCCAGATACAGAGATCTTCCCTAGAGCTGAAAAACAGTGCCACTGTGGACGTAATATACATATGCAAAACTATGAAGAAAGAAGACCTCATTAGACTGCCATACACACAAAGATATAAGTTAAACTCCTATATTGTATACTGTAATTGATTTCGGTTCAGTAAAAAGAAAAGCTCTCTAAGTGACCTATCCAGAGATGGAATAGACTGCCTCAGGAAGCAGTGGGCACCCAGTGATTCAAGGAGTGACATCTGCACGGGCAGGAAAGCAGTTAGAAGCCAATCCTGTGTGCTAATAACAACCAGATGGCTTGGAAGTAGCAGAGAGACTGTGCCAAAGAGCAAGAAGAAATGAGAGAGCTAAAAAGAGAAAAGGTCAGATGAAGACAGAATATTAATTCTGAGGATAAAAGCTTTATATGTGATATAACAGAGACTAGAAAGTGACTAACTGCTCTTAAAGAGAGGAGAAAAGCATTATGCTTGTGTTTGAGGAACATTATGCTAATGATTCTGTATGGCCTAGAACTGAAGGGGGCAGGATTTCAAAGGCTAAGTCTCTTAATGCAGTAACACATTTGGTGAGTGGCTACAGAAAAGAAAGAAGGAGCAATGGGTAATGCAAACCAAGAGCTATCGATGAGAATACAAGTCAATGAATCAAAATATTTTATGTTAGCATGTTAGGATTAAATATGACAAAGAAAAACAAAGAAAAGAATTTCTGTTTCCATAATAATAGGTAGGGTACACAAGGTTTCAATTTTCATTTAACAAGATCATAAACATGTTATATTGGAACAGTCCAGGTTCATTGGTTAAGTGAAGTATGACAGAGTACCATCATGGATTCAAAATGTACACAGTCACTATAACTTTAAAAGGAACATTAAGAAAAGAAAGAACATTAAGTTATACATTGGAATGAAAGATTGGCCAACCATTGTGAAAATGCATAACGCTGTCACAAATGGTGTTGGTTAAAAATTGTTGCAAAAATATAGAACCACAAATAAAAAATAAAACCTAATAACATACCTCTGATATTAGTGACACCAGTTTTGAATTTAAGAAAAAAGGTATTTTTTAATCTACTTGGTATACTGATAATCATATTTTAAATAAGAAAATGATTGTTAGAGTATGTTTCAGATATATTTAAGTGAGCACCTAAATTATTCTCAAATAATTTAGATAGATATTTACTATTGTAAGAATATAGTTTTTACCTATTTTACAAATTGTCGTTTTCAGAAGTTTCTAACGCTGAATAAATTTGCATAGTACTCATTCCTCAACTGTTTTTAGAGATTTATTTTGTACATTAACTGTCAATATGGAATAGCTTTGTCATGTTTCTACTTCTAGTACATAAGGTAGCATGATGACTTTTACCTTCTTGTCCCATCCATTTTTATAACACCCAAATTAACTACATGTTCAGATACCATTTCAGAGTCTTAATATAAAAACAGCATAACTGAATTCTATCTGACCCAAATAACACATCTGTGATCTTTCCTACAGTGATCAAATTTTTTATATATTCTAAGCTAGGAATTATTTTATTTCTAATTATCATTTCTGTGATCCTAAAAATATCTTATCAGAAAAGGCCTATTTTAATTTGATTACCTTGTTTAACTTAGATAGCTGTAGCTAATTTCTTATTATTTCTATATTGAGGAATTGCTGGAATTCTTAGTGATTTTAAAGCTCATGGGTACACAAAGGGTATAAAAATACTGATTTGAAGGGTACAAAAAAAGGCACCCGATGTTTGTAGCACCATTGTCTACAATACCTAAATTATGGAAAGAGGCCAAGTGTCCATCACCTGATGAATGCATAAAGAGGTGTGGTATGTGTGTATGTATATATATAATGAAATATTTGACCATAAAAAAGAATGAAATTTTACCATTTGCAAAGACACGGATGGAGCTAGAGAGTATTATGCTAAGTGTAATAAGTCAGTCAAAGAAAGAAAAATACCATATGATTTCACTCATTCATGGAATTTAAAAAACAAAACAAATGAACATGGTGGGGGTGGGGGGAAGAGAGGCAAACCAAGAAACAAACTCTTAACTATAAGGAACAAACTAAGGGTTACTGGAGGGAAGGTGGGCAGGGGGCTGGGTTAAATAGGTGATGGGAATTAAGGAGGGCATTTGTGATGAGCGCTGGGTGTTGTACGTAAGTGATGAAACGCTGAATCCTACACATGAAACAAATATTACATTGTATGCTAACTAACTGGAATTTAAATCAAAATTTGGAAAAGAAAAAAAATAAAGCTCTTGGGTACAAAAAAAAAGATTGGTTGTTGCCAGAAATGGGAAGTGAGGGAGGGTAAAATTGGTGAATGGGGTCAAAAGGTACAAACTTCCAGTTACAAAATAAGTTATGGGGATGTCATGTACAACATGGTGACTATGGTTAATAATACTGTACTGCATATTTGAATGCTGAGAGTAGATCTTAAAAGTGTCATTACAAGAAAAAAATTGTAACTAGTATGATGACTTAGGGTGATCATTTTGCAATATATACAAATTCTGAATCATTAGGTTACACACCTGAAGCTAATATAAGGTTATATGTCAATTATACCTCAAAATAAAGGGATTTTAAACTCTTATTTATTTTATCTAAAGAGAACTTTGTGTCTGTAACTCAAGCCTTTAAGAAACTAGCTAATTCACACTATAAGCATTAGTTAGGTTCTCTTCAGAGTTATGTTATAGATTATGAGTTCATTTAATGTCCAGGTGTATCCCACAGAGAAACATTTGGAAAAACATCTCTTACCAAAAATTTCTAACTCATTTTTGAAAATCACATGGCTTTGAAATATAATGAAATTTGAATGGGTAACTCAAAAAACTTTATGGCTTGGAACAGTGTTTCTTCAACAAAAGAGTCAGAATGTCACTAGAAGTTATAATTGCTAAGATAGTACTTTTATCCTGAACCTCTCCTCCAAGAAGTGTCAGATCTTTAGATCTCTATTACTCAACCAGAAACATTTTAAGAGTCAGCTGGAGGTAACTGTAAAGAACTGTTAAGGTCCAGGGGCGCATGGGTGGCTCAGTGGGTTAAAGCCTCTGCTTTCGGCTCAGGTCATGATCCCAGGGTCCTGGGATTGAGCCCCACATTGGGCCCTCTGCTCAGCAGGGAGCCTGCTCCCTCCTTTCTCTGTGCCTGGCTCTCTGCCTATTTGTGAGCTCTGTCAAGTAAAGAAATAAAATCTTAAAAACAAAACAAAACAACAAAAAAACTATAAAGGTCCTTTAAAGAGGACCCCTTTTTAGGGACAGGTAAAGATCTATCAAAACTTGGGAAAATATATCAGAAGATAGATTTGACCTTACCACTTTTCAGAAATTACTATATCTGGATTTTTTATGCCAACATAACAAATGGACACCAAGGAGCAAGGATACCAAGCATCTTCACTTAATCCACTCAGAGAAATTAGAAATGAGTCCATCCACTGAGATATCTGTATGGCTTCCCAGATGGCACTAAATATGCATCATCTGGAGAAAATTAGAGAAGTTCTTTTCCAGAATTCTGACCATTCTGAATTTTCCTGAATGATCAGCTTTAGGACCAGCTACCTCGTTGAATGTGAAGGTGGGAAAGAGATTTCACAAACTGGGACCCAGAAAGGAGGGAAAAGCAGCAACAGATCCATGCTCAAGTTTGAGTCTATATAAAAGAAATAGTAGGATATGTGTGTATCTGGAATGACTGGATTGTATATCTCTGTGGTTGAAAAGGAAACAGCTCACTGTGATAGAATTATGACCCATGTCACAGAGGAGCAGAGAGTATTTGGGTCAAATATTTTCCCACGAATGGTAATAACTTTATGGAGTGGATGTCTATAAAGGGTTCTCTAAACAAGAAACAGTAATGAGCTCAACAGACATCCATTCAATGACTCAAACAGTGACATTAAATGCTATTCTCATCACACGCAAAAACAAAAATCAAGTTTGATATTTATGGAAATCCACACGCTGAATCCCAAAGGCTTATTCTTTCTTTATACAAATGACAGCCTATCTCTGGTTTGTCTCTACAGCATCACGTATGGACCCATTTATAGAAGAACCCCAATCTGAGCCCTCAAACAGGAAATGAATGAGGAAGTAGAGATACAGGGCAAATGGAGAAAAAAGACTGGTGTAAAAATTGACATTCCTGAAATAAAACAAAATTAATTAAATTTTTAAATTTTTTCCCTGTATAATAAAAAATTTCCAAAACCACAAGGCATCCGGAGTAAGAAAACTAAATGGACTAAAAAAACACTGTAATAAAATTTTGTACTTGAGAACTACAATATGATATCTGCCTCCTCCCAGCAAGGGAGAGTACTCTTTCAGATGCCACCAATGGTTATGCAGTTACCAAAGTCGGTACTCTTCAGTGTTCTCTGCTGTTGTGAGGTATTTGTGATTGTAGG